CGTGCCCATTCCCTGGGCAGCCTGGGCAGTGCCAGCACCCTCTGGGGGCAGAGCCTTGCCCTGAGCTCCAGCCTGAGCTGCCCTGGCCCAGCCCCAGCCGTGCCCTGGCTGCTGTCCCAGGGATCAGAGCTGTCCCTCAGAGGAAGCTGCAGACCCTGAGCCTCCCCTCAGCCTCCCCTGCTCCAGACTGAACAAACCCAATACCCTCACCCCTCCTTCTTACACCATCAGAAATCAAACTGTGCATTGTGAAATTCCTGTAATTTCTCCATTCCTTGTGAGACCCAGAGCCCAGGATACACATTCAAAACCTGTTTAGATCTTCCAGGGCACATTATTTGCAAAACCTCAATTTAAACAACAAACAAGAACAAAAGCTCTCCCCAGGGCAGGGCAGAACAAGACAATCCTACACTGAGTGACCTCACACAGCAAACCCCAAACAGGAGATGCTGAAATGGATTTGCAACACCCAGTCCATGGGACAACTCATGGAGGAGGACACAAGGTGGTACCTGGAAGAGATTCCCTTGGACATCTACTGTAAGTGAACCCAGGGGGATGCAGATCTCCATCCAGTGTGGAGGCAGGGAAGGAGGGCACCCACTCCTCTCCCTCTGGGCTCTTTCTCTAAATGCAAATCAAATCTGAAGTCACACTCCTACCGAAAAGGAAGGTGAGAAGGGCACAGAAGCTGAACCACACCCCAAACCTGAGATGCTCTGTGGTTACTGCAAATGTTTGGAGGACACCTGGGAGATGAACTTGGAAGGGAGGGTAGAAGCACATGGATCAAAAATACAGCAGAAAGTGGTACCTGCAGTATAAAATCAGTCCAAAATGTGGGAAAACTCCCAAGACTTGACAACAACCAAGCCCGGGCCAACAGTGGTGCTTCAAACACACCCAAACTCCAGAGCAGCCATGACTACAGCTGCTGTAACACACTGGATTCCTGTTGTTTTTTTTTTTAATATAAAAAAGCAGTCTAAAGTCATGAATGTCCCTGTCCCAGTCCATAACCTGTCCCTCTGAGCTACTCAGCTGTCCAGAGCTTGAAGGTTCTGTCATAGGAGCAGGTGGCAATGAGCTGCCCATCCAGGGAGATGTCCAGGCCCATCACCTTCCCCTCGTGCCCTGCCAGTGTCTTCAGGGGGGACCAGCCGGGGTGGGTCCAGATCTTGGCCGTGTTGTCGTAGGCGCCCGTGAGCAGGAAATTCCCGTGGTTGGCTGCACGGGAGGAGAAAGGGGAGAAGTGAGGCTTGCAAGGAAAACACAACATCCCTGCTCACAAACAGGCCTTGCATGGGAGCAGCCAGAGGGGAGGCACAGGGAGCAGCAGGGACTCACGTTCAAACCTGACGCCGGTGACCAGGTTCTGGTGGGCAGGGATGGTGTAAATGCATTTCCTCTGCCGCAGGTCCCACACCTTGCAGGTGTTGTCCCCACTGCCCGTGGCCACGTGGTACCTGCCAAGGAGGGGAGGCAGAGCAGTGTTCAGGGAGTGCAGTTTACACTCAGAGCTCCCACATCAGTGCCAGCTCCCTCCTTACCCGTTTGGGGAGAAGTTGATGCCATAGATCTCCTTCAGGTGCCCTTCCAGGAACATGATGCAGCGGCCAGTGCGCAGGTCCCACACCCGGCCAAAGGCATCCAGGCCTCTGCAAGCACAGCATTGTTGTGTTCATATTTCTCAAGTCCCCTCCTGTACCAAGCTG